CTCTCTCTCTTCCCCCGTCTCTGTCCTCGTTTTTTGCTCTGAACGATTTGGAGTAGTTTTTTCTTGACTATATCTTGCACTTAACATATTATGAAACATTTTGTATGAATAATAATACTAAACGTTGAACGAAACACATCATGAGTAAATGAAATACACACACTAATACAAATATACACTGAGAAAAAATTGGCAATAGAATAGTCGCATTGAATTCACTTATTTCCCTTTTAATTTATTAAGTAGAACTTTGTTATTTCTTGACATTTTAATTTTAATTTTCTAAATTATTGTTTTATAATTAAATTTTTAAACTACGCTTCAGCCAACACCTTAAGCACAATAAATTTTTTTACTGTACTGCAGCTCAAAGTATTTTTACTCTAATCTTGTACTTTTAAAGTATTTAATTTAGAATTTTTCGAAATTTTTTAATAGATTTTGATAAACTAATATTTAAGCCAACATTTAAAAAAATATTTTATGTGAGTCTTGAGATTTGCCTGAAAAAATCTTTCATTAGGTTTTCTAAACATTCTTTTTTAAAATAATATTAAAGATTTTTATACATATATTTTTTCCAATTTTTGTAATAAATGATTGAAATTAAAATGATTTGGTTGAGCAGTAAATGTTCGAGTTTTCATCTATAGAACTCTTTAAAAATTTTGATTGAAGATATGTAATATATATATTTTAATTCTGATTCTCAACTTGTCAACTTACCAAATTGCCAAATTTGAAAGTTAACAAAATTCCATTTTGCAACACATTTTCCGAAAGGATCAACAAAAGTTGAGCTCTAAGCGCTTGCCACAACATGTTGCACCACAAAAACTGTATGTGGTTAATGTTCTGGGATTATCCCAAAACGAAATTCGTGGCTTGGACATTTGTGCCAAGCAATTAGCACAATTGCACGCAAATGAGTTTTTGGTTTTGAGCAATTAAAATGCTGACAGCTTAATGCAGCAAATGTTGAAATATGAAAATGCGAAAACTATCTGACATACAGCAAAAATAACCGCAATAAATGCACAAACAATAGTTGATATAAGTGGACACGACACGCCCACTTGAAGCATTGTGTACGCCCAGTTGAGTAGATTTCMTAATTAATTACAATTTTATTTTATATTCAGTTTTTGTTTTTKGTTTTTCTTTGTAACTTTTTGCCACCCGTTTTTTGCTCTCTCTGCTTCCCCTTCTATCGTTCGTTCGTTTTGCTTGCATCTTCCGTCTTCCGTCTCTTTTTTGTGTCTCTTCTATTGCCACATTTTTTCTTAACGCAGAGATGTGTGCAGATATTGAAATCGTCACGTCAAATCAGTATGACGGTGCGAGCGCCGCCCACGCTGAACTCAACGGCGCCGCTGCACGGTTTTGGTCCACCCTCGCGGGATCCCATGTACGCATCGATGGCCCCCCTATTACCCCAGTCGGCAGCCGCCCAGGCAGCAGCCGCCGGCGGCGTAGGCGGATCGGGTCTGCCCTTTCGTCAGACCTGCTCCTGGATGGATCGACACGGTCGTCCGGCCTCGCCGCCCATGGAGTACGGCGGCAGACGAAACGATCGAAGAGATCGGTAAGCTGGCATGAGTATAAATATATATATAAGATAAATTTAGTAACATTTGTTGCTTCTCTAGGGTACGTCGCGTGGAACTGCTCATCGAGCCGGGCCAATCGCTGGGCCTGATGATACGCGGCGGCGTGGAGTACGGCCTGGGCATCTTTGTCACGGGCGTCGACAAGGATAGCGTCGCTGATCGTGCCGGTCTTATGATCGGAGACGAAATCTTGGAGGTCAACGATCAGTCGTTCCTCGATGTGACGCACGACGAGGCCGTTAGCCAGCTGAAATAYCATAAGCGCATGTCGTTGCTGATACGAGACGTGGGCAAGGTACCGCACTCCTGCACATCCATCGAAATGGAGCCCTGGGATGCGTACAGTCCAACGGGCACGAGGTGAGTTGAGAGATCGGCAATGGGAGGTGGGGTAAATGAGAGATGGGTGATGGGAGATAGTAGAAAGTGGACAGTGAAAAGTGGAGAAGGTAGAGTGGATAGTGGAGATTGGAGAGTAGAAAACGGAGACTGAAGAGTGATGAGTAGATGTCCACTCTCTACTCATCAGTCTTCAGTCTCAGTCTCAATTCTTCAGTTAAAAGTGGAAATTGGAGAGTGGAGAGTAGAGAGTGGAGAGTAGAAAGTAGATATAAAACAAGAGGCAGATGGGTGATGAGAGATAGTGGAGAGTGAAAACTGGAAAGTGGAAGTGGGAAGTAGTTAGCGGAGAGTGGAGAGCGGAGTGTAGAAAGTGAAGACTAGATGGTGGAGAGTGGACAGCAGAAAGTAGACAAATTATTAAAATAGATGAGAGGTTCGACATTAAGGATATGAGAAAGTATATAGATTCTCTTAAGAAGAGGGGTGAATAATAGTTTATGTAATATAAAGATAATATATCCAACCTTTTTTTTCCCATCTCTTTCAGAGCACGCCGAAAAGGTCAGATTGCGACCATGGTGGAGGAGAAGGCGCGCTCGCTGCTGCCACGACATCATTTTGCAAGTCTTTCATATTATATAGCCGAATATAGTGTGAAAGCAATGACCATAGATGCCTTTGTTGCCGTCTTATTAGAGATGTTAGATACGTACGAAAAGGTGAGCTAAACAGATAAACTGAAATATATTCTATTCTATATATTCTAATCGAATCGATCATTAGCACACGCTTGTGACGGAAATTCGAGAGCTCGTCTTTCCGGAGGATCGTACACGGTACGATGAGCTAGTGTATCGCCGTGAGCGCGATCCATATAGCGTGGATAGGCATAGGGTAAGCTTGTCAAATACCTCTATATACATATATGTGCAGAGAGCGAATACTCATTATAATGTCTGTCTAATTGGCAAACTCCATTCCTGCAGCGTAAAGGAGACCCCGCACGTGATTTGCCGGTAAGCTTTTTAGAAGATTTATTCTACGACACTGACACCATATATACCTAGCATCGCATGTTAAACTATTGTACGACAAAAATAATTTAACTACTCGCCTAGAAACTAGTCAAAAGAGAAAAATATGAACTCTCTACTATATAATCTATATATATATAT